CAGCTTCCTTTCCCACTGCAGTCCCGCACAAACGCTGATCGCGACGCTGCGACCTAGACAAAGCAAAACCCTTCGGTGCAGGCACATCCAGATCTAACGATCACCTCCCAGCCCGAAAACCCCACGAACCACTGGATGAAACCGCAGCCCAAATCCCTGAACATTAAACAGAACAGCACAAACGAACACAAAACCCCTATGCCGCATGCAAGCTTAAATTTCTCCTGCGCGGGCTCCAGCTGAAACTTGGTAGCCGGGGGGACGGGGGAGGGGGGTACCGTGAGGAGGCCCGACAATTTCGCAGGTAACGGGAAATCTTCCCTTCATATCCTGAACCCAAACCCTAAGTCCTACAAGCCCCCAGCTGCTAAGACTGAAGAGTTGAGGCTTGTCTGGCTTCATGATACATATGGGGGTTTCCGAAAATAGGGGACCCTAATATAGTACCCTAAATAGTAGGATCCTTATTGTGAGGACCCCAAAATANNTTCGGAAACTCCCATATTGCTTTTCGAGGATCCACCTTTGGTGCTACGATGCTTGAATGACCGAACAGCTGCAGTAGCCAGAGCAAGATCATTATATCATGCTATACTGCGAGAACCCTAGGCCCCAAAGAGGCGGTCCTGAGCTTGTAAGTTCAGAGCATCCGGGCGTGTTTAGTATCTTGGACTTCCGGAAGAAGCACTAAGAGGTTCGACTGGGCGTGCACCGACGGTTTCGGATGTACAGTAGTAGAACCCCAAATTAAAATAAATCCGATGTACTGTAGAACCCTAAAGCCCTAAATCCTAAATTGTATTAATCCACGAGCTTGGGACTTGAAGGGCTTTGTGCCTCTGGTACAAGCGCGAACATCTGGTCCCAGCCGAAGATCCATTATTGCAGAGGTGGTCCCAGTGGCTGAATGCATTACATGGCATGTCGAGTTGCCAGGGCTTCATGTGCAGTTTTAAACCCCGAGTACCGAAAGCCTTGAGAGTAGGAGGCCAAAGTTGTTTATTTGAAGCCCGAATCTCCTACCCTCCTTAACCCAAAACCCCAAAATCCTAAACTCTAAGCCGTATAAACCCCAAACCCCAAAACCCTACACTTGGAAGCCCGAAAGCTGCAAGCGAAGATTTGCTGAACGCGTTATACATGCAGGCCTCCGAGAGGATGGGGGTCTCGCCCTCTCGCTTTGATTTGGGTTTAGGGTTTGGGGGATAAGACCCGGGGGTTAGGCTACCAGATAGGATTTCTTCCCCGCCCTAAACCCTCTATAGACCCTCAACCCTAAACCTGGCGGTTTTATGCTTCGAGGTCCCGTGACTCTTCAGGGGTTTAGGGGAGAAGGCCTGGGTTCAACAGGAAAGCACGTGGGCAACGCGAGGCTCGAGCTCGGGTTTCTTTTGGAGTTCTTGAAGCCTAGCCTTGCACATGGTGAGATTTGCAAACCCCGAAACGGAAAACCCCTGCATAGGGTCGGCCATGCCACTCGGCCTTACTCTCTCCACTTATGTGGTTTAGGGTTCAGGTCCAGGTGGCTCCAGACATGGACATTTCTTTTCCGTCTGACTGTGCTTGGGACAGGCTTTCTATCAAGACCCTCTGTTCAAAGAGGGGTTTTATGAAATCCCTCTATTCAGCTTTGTGCTGCTTTAGATGGCTGGGCTGCGCGAAACTGCAGGTTTCTGCTCACGGCATTCGATGTGAGGATCCGCTTTGCTAGGTGATTACGCGTTCTTGCCTTGTAAGCCCCAGAAGAAGGGCAGATAAGAAAGCCACGAAGCGGAACAGATGCTGACAGCTGGCAGCCTTGACCTCCTGTAAAATGCTTCCTTGGGCATATAGCCCGTATACATACCGAAATTGCTCCTAGTATTAAAGGGGTTTGGTCTGTGCCAAACCCTAAGGGTCCATGTACCCAAATAGCAGAACATTGGCCCTAAAGTACCCATATAGGGACTACATTAAGGCCAATGTTCTATTATTTGGGCACATGGACCCTTAGGGAAACAGAAGCACTCCTCTGCTTTGTCTTGGAGGGAGGAAGTGACTCTGCGAGTGTAAGGGGTTGAGGGTTATAGGTATGGATTGACCAGCCGATCCGCGCACTCCCTTCCGCTGCGTACCGTTATATGTCCTCAAAGATGGAATTCCCGAAGTCCCGATGCCAGAAGAAAGCAAAAGGCAAGAAGAAGGATCCAAATGCTCCCTGTCTGCTGCCAGAGGCACGAGTCATTTTATCTGATACAATGCGTAATGCTGAACACCTATAGTCTCCATTGTAGTTCCTTTTTTTGGTTTAACCAATTCTATATTAAGGATTCTATAAGGTAACCCCAAAAAGGAACTACAATGGAGACTACAGGTACAGGGTAAATGTTCTGACAGAAGTCAGATGTAGGCGATTGCGTTGGCATGCTTCGCAGTCAATGCAGGCAGGAGTACTGGTTCCGGTGTCACTGGTTCTAGAAGCTTCATATTTTTGTCTCCTATGGGGGCCCTTTTTCATGAGGCTGGACTTTGGGGTGGATCCGACTCCTTGCAATTTGTCACTTGTTCGGCGGAGGGCAAGGGTGGCGGGGGGCCACATGGTCGAAGCCTGTCAAGTCTGCATAGCAGGACTCACGCCCGACCCCAGCTGCACACGCACGCTTGATACGGCCGAAGCTCGCAATTCAGACAGTCAGAGGTTGGATCAAGAACATTGTCAGTAGACCAACCTTCAGATTCCTCCTCGCTGGAAGGATACCTTCATAAGAGCCAAGAAGCTGCAGGATCTGAAGGCAAAGCATTGCAGCTGCGCTTGGGAAGGGGCTTCGAATGGTCTACTTCGAGAGTTTAAGTGAGAAGGTCTTCATGAAATGTGCAGCAGCTTGCAAGTCTCCAAATTCTATGTCCTATGTCTGTCAGGACCGAATTCTCCCCATTCGCTAGCCGCCGGACCCGAAGCTGTCTGAACCCAGAAGTTTCCAGGAGGTCAACCCTCACAAAACGGCCTTGTACACATCATACTATTCGATTTCGCTTGGTTGTCTTCAGCAGAACCTGAAGCGATATACCACATCCGCATTCCAATGAACTGTTGGACAGGTTCAGATGAAGCAGCCCAAAGGCGAACTCACCCAGGAGGAGTGGTCTGCTCCTCAGGACTAAGAGGCCGTGAAGATGAAGCGAGTTTTACGCTACCGCAACCAAACCTACCACTACCACCAGCAACACCATCACTACTACGACGACGACGACGACGACGAGGACGACGACGGCGATGGCGACCGCGACCACGAAGGCGACTGCTACTATTACTACTGCTGCTGTTGCTACTACGACGAAGGCTGCTTCTACTTCCCTTCGATCTATCCTATTACTACGTCTACGACGGCGGCGGCTACTACCACTACTCCTACTCCTACTCGCGCTACTGCTACTACTACTACTACTACTACTACTACTAGTAGTAGTAGTAGTAGTAGTAGTAGTACGGTGGATGGTAA